ACCAGTCATAGCAATTTGTCATAAATATGTATTTCTTTAGGGGACTTCAAAAGAATTTGAGTCATGTTTGATTATGACTCATACTTTAAAAACGAGGGGAGAATTTTAAATTTTATATGCACAAGGGAAACGATTCTTGATTCTCTTCTTTATAATAGTCTAACCGCCACACAGAATTGTTAATTGTTCACTCTGGGATACCTTTAATATGGTTTCAGTAAATATATGGACTAGTCCGACGGTTATTAGGAGATATTAGTACCAATTTGTTATACTAGCTTATTTAAATGAGTTACATGTTTCATTTTTTAGCATATATCATTTGTAGTTACTTATCATTATGAAATGACGTCATCAACACAGCAAATTATATCCTAACTAGCTTTCGCCCGCGTCCCCATCCGCGCGTAATTAAAAAATGTGTTCTTACAGACTATCCCCTACATCTATTCCAAATTTCATCGTAATCCGTTCAGCCGTTTAGACTACTCTAACAAATATCCATCTAAACTTTCGCATTTATAATATTAATGTTTTTAGCTTATATCCACGAAAAAGTAGACGACAAAACAGAAGAAAATCATATTTTCTCTATTTAACTGACATGTAACACATATGCAGTAATTTGTCCTTAACTTTATTTTTAATTAAAAGATATTTTGTGGCAGGCCTTAATGACATACGTGGCACAGTTAATTTCAAGTATCCGCAAGGAGCGCTGGAAGTTTCTAGTGGGAAACTCTGGTAATGACGTCACGAATGTACACTGAACACACACCGCACGTGTAACGGAGGTCTCTTTGAACATCTAATTTACAAACTGAACGAATTTATTTTTATTTTCCAACTTTAATTGCGAAATATATAAGCATATTGAATAACTTTTTAACTTCTAATTTTACATTTTCAGTAAAATATAAAAATATTTTCAATAATTGTAAATCTTGCAATGCTTATTTTTAAAACCATATTTTAAACTTGCTTTCGCCCGCTTTCCGTTTGAACTTTAAAAAACAGTATGTAGCTTTGTTCTTTCAGACTTTACCCTACATCTATGTAAAATTTCAACGATATCCGTTCAGCAATTTAGTCGGTAATAAGAGGATATGGTTAAGAAAGGAGTGGATTCAGATATGTCGGCTGATAGAGATGTATGGAAGAGCAGCACATACTGTGCTGACCCTCCGTAAGGGGTAAGGGATAAGGGCAAGTCGATGATGATGACTTTAATTGGTCAATTTTAACAAACATTCATCCATCCATATAAACTTTCATAATCATGATATTAGTAAGATTACACAAATTTAACATTGGATTATGGTATTTGCCAAATACCATGACCTTTGTTCAAACGCAACATATCGACCCGTAGCAGTCCCTAGCATTGAACATAGCTATTAATAATTCCCCTCTGTTACCTCGACACTTGCACAATAGGGTGACTACTACCCTCTTGCAAACGTGCCACTCCCGATAGAGGCTGTAGTGCGAAGTGTTAACATACAACTTACGTAAATAAATTAATTACCCAAGTTATAAGTTAACTATTATAAAGGGTGTTCTATATTAATTGAATAAATGAAGCCGCACTACAGATTATAAATACGAATTTTAATAAAATATTCATAAATTAAACAGACTCAGAGTTATTAAATGACTACGTAAGTTTGTGTTCATTAATACTAAATCTACACAAAGGGATTCCCTTAGCAACCATTTAGGGCTCAAAATGCAGTAGTAAGCATAAAAGAGGGGTGAATCAGAATTTTATTTATTTCTCTAACCTAAAATAAAATCTGATAAAATCTGAAAGCTTATTTTTCTTTTAATTCGAAAATAAAATCAAATATTTATTAAAATTGACAGCATTGACGTAGTGCCTTGCGAAACATTTTCGACTTAAGCCTTGACCTGGCTTTACTTGAGAACTTATTTAGGTCACATAAAAGTGTATTAAGTCGTCCTATACTCAGACTTACTGGCGAAGACGTGTAAAATGTTGATAGAAAAGCTGTTATTATTTTAACGAGTTTGTTATTTAATATTCAGTACTGATTTTAGTGATACTAGCGTCCTGGGCAAGATTTTTACGGCGCCCCCATAACAGCTTTTGGAGGGAAATTAACAGGCCTAACTTACATAGTTAAAGACCTTTGGAGCCCCTGTCCAGCGCTCTGGGCGATTTTCCTACCCTAATAGAGAGAGTTCAGTTTGGTACAAGTATGCTTTTCTCATGGTTATAATTATTTTTACTCTGCAAAGAAAATCTTTCTTATTTTGTTTTATTCTGTTATCAAACTAATATTGCACGCTTTGCTTATTCCAGATGTCATGTAGGTGTAACAAATATTTGATCTCGTCTCGTGCACGACTCATATATCATAAGGTTGGCAGACCTGACTATAATTCTCCAGACTCTTTGTATCCCATGAGTTTTTTTTTATATTTTGTTTCGATACGTCATTTATATTCTTTAAAAATATTGAAATAATAAGCGTATTTATTTTAGTAGGCAACATTGAGTGTCAAATTGAAAATAATGCCATCTAGCGGTAACTTAACAAAAATTTTGAAATTAATGCGAAGCTAACATTCTTGAATTATTGTGAAGTAGGAATTATTATTGTATTTTCAAAAAGTAACAAAACGAGAAAATATTGTAAATACAGGTACAATTTTATTAAAATGAAAAACAACAAAATAGATAAAAAAAAACTATAAAATATAATAAAAATAATCAATTTCCTTATATATACCGTCTTTTCTTATTTTTTTAACATCTACATTATCACAGGACATTAAAAAAGCTAACAATAATTGCAATATTAAAAATCGTATAATTTCACATATAAAACATAATTTAAAATCTTCAATGTAAGCCACAAACTCTGTTCGCAGGCAAAGCTTTATCTGTAACAAACATAAACAATCAAAATTATATTTTCATATATTTTTTCATTTAATAATATAGTCAGAAAGTGATAGAGAATAATGTAAAATTGTAACTTGTTAATTTTTTTCCTTGCAACATTTTTTTAAACATATAACAATTTATATCACTCGGTCATAATTAAACATTGTACTGTTTAAAAAAGAAATTAAATTAGTCGAGTAGTTTTTCAGTTTATTAGTTACAAAATTTATTTCATTGCTTTAATGACAACGATGAAATTGCTGTTATTGGCTTGTACTTTTTGTCCTTTCTAGCACTTTTTTTTTAATTTATTCACGCACTATATTAAATAGCGTGATAATAGCACGTGACTGTAGAGCTTTTTTATAAAAAAGGAATTTAATTTTTTTTTTAAATTATTATATGTAAAAAAGTATGTACGTTTTTACAGTAGTATAGATAAATACTGCATTATTTACCAATCATTTTAGGATATGGTAGATTCAAATTGTCCATAATTTCAACAAATTCTTGTAAAGTCTTAGTGAGTCTTGGATTGTATTTCTTTTCTTCGGCCACAGTAGTCGCGGTCTGTCCCCTGTAGTCGTGTGCAGGGTACAGGGTATAGTGGTCAGGCAGAGTAAATATCTTGTTATGTACAGACTCGTACAGACGCTTTGAGGAACCTTCTTGGAAGTCTGTACGACCACAACCACGAATTAAAAGTGTATCTCCAGTGAACGCCATACACTGAAATAAACACAATGTAATTAATACAAAATACTAAGGGCTTGTCCCACCACTGGCTGATAGCGACTCAGATAGAGGACTAGGACTGAGCTATCCCACCAAATTGTATATTCTATCTGAGCCTTTGTCAGCCAGTGGTGGGACAGACCCTAAAATTCTAATAATCCACAGAGACCCATTTAGACAATCCAAAAATAACATTTCAGTTTTGTATTAAACCATTCTCTTTTGGAATAAAAATACTAAGGTTTACTACTAATCCCCCTTAAATATTATCTTGCCCCCTTTGACTCAATGGTAAAGGTCATGACCTGCCCCACCTTAATGGTTGGCAACGTTTATTGTATAATAGGATTATTTCCAATCAATTTGATTACAAAACATTTTAAAAAAATAGATGTAAAATGTAATTTACCAATAGATTAAAAATTCAATTAATCATTTTATAACAGATATTTTATTGTTATGCAACAATCAATTACACAAACTGCATATCACGTCTTATCAAAATATATATGTAGATAGCATTTGATTACTATATCAGTTTTATAAAATATAAGTTTGATAGAATTATAAAAACAACAAGAAACATTGAACAAGATATGAAAAATTTAAAAACTTTAGCCTTAAGTTCTTAAGTTTAACTGACAAAGACTAATTTAATTTTTTTTACATCTGTCATAACTATACGATAATATTTAAACTAGTTTTGACTAAATCCGGAATTCTGCGTTTGAATTAATTAAAAAAAGAAAGTAGCCTATGTGTTCTCCCAGACAATGTACATCTATGCCAAATTTCATCAAGATTCGTTTAGCAGTTTAGGCTACAAACTCTAACAGACATCCATCCATCTAAACTTTCGTATTTATAATATTAGTAAGGTAAACAAACCTGTTGATTAAAGACATAGGTGAAACAACCATTAGTATGTCCCGGAGTAGCTGCTGCTTGTAGTTGATATTCACCGAACTTCACATAATCTCCATCTACAAGATGGATGTCTGCCTGAGCTCCGGAAGCTTTACCGATGACACTCCTCGTACCAGGAAGGAGGGACTTCAGTTTACCAGTACCCGTTACATGGTCTGCATGCATATGTGTGTTCACTGAAAAATATTAACATAAAAATCAGTTTATTAATAAATCCATTTCTATTAAATATATAATGTCAAATACTTTTTTTATCTCATAAGGTGGCAAACGAGCAAGCGGCCATATAAATCCGTCAAAATCGCGGAGCAAACGCTGACCATAGAGATTTACAGCGGATGCATTGCTTACCCTTAATAGACGGAGGACACGTACATAAAGGATATTTTCCCCTCCTGTGCCTCTCCTCCACCTATAAATGCCCGTTCCCTTTTCATCCTATTCTTATGAGAAAAAGCGTGAGAAGGAAAAGGGACTAAAGTTGGGTCTTCCGCACCACACTCATCAGAAGAAACGCGGATTGCTCCCACTTTACCTCCGTCTTCTGTGTGGTCGTGGTATTGCACCGGGCGAGCCGACCCATTCGTGCAAAGATGTTAAAGCGGGCTCTACCACTGATAAATATTTTATGGAATTAACCACACGTATATCAACGAAACAAATATAATTACATCTTATATGTGATCTTCATATATTGTGCAACACTATTTGTTGTATGGATTGAATTGCATCTTAAAGGGCGACACACATTTATGCATTTAGTATATTTTGTTACTTATACCAAGACAAGCTTTTGCCTGCGACTATATCCGCGTGAAATTTAAATTTTTAAAATTTACGCTTGGACTTTATCGCAACCTTAGTGGATGAATTTTGTAAAATCCTTTAGTATCGTATATGTATACTTAGTAACACTTTACGTAGTAACAGAAACTAGTTTTTGAACCGCTTATCAAACTAGTTTTTTATCATAAGTGATTTGCTTAATCATCAAATTATGTTTATATATATAAAAATTATATCTATAGTAATGTAATAAAGCGTAAACACACACTACTTCGTGGCGTAGGATGTCAGCAATCAAAGTACTTTTTTGCATAAATCTTTCTTTAATAAAAAGCCCTACACTTACAACACACTTTAGGCTATATATTTTCACGCTATTAAACTTTAGGGGCAAATAAATTGGCAAAAAACTTCATGTATAAAAGGGACCATAAACTACAAGGTGCCAACATTAAGGTAGCAAAGTTATTATGGTAATGGTAATTTTGACATTTGCAATTGAGAATTTGACAAATGTAAACAACAAAGTATAATGTTTATTAATTTAATGCGGATGAAACCGCACGGGATTGGCTAGTTATTACATAATACTGGTTTTATGAACATTCCCTTCTACTGTACATTAAAATGATTTTCCACTGCCAAAAACGAAAGTATATCAACATATTACTATCTCTCTCTCTTTGTACAAGACAAAGAAGTTTAACAGTGGTAGTGCCCGCTTTAACATCTTAGCACTGCAGGGCCGGCATGCCCGGTGTAATACCACGACCGCACAGAAGACAGGTGTGAAGTGGAAGAAATTCTGTGTTTCGTCTGATGAATGTGGTGCCGGACCTAATTTAAATCCCTTTCTCTTTACCACCCTTTTCTTATAAGAAGAGGATGGGAAGGGGAAGAGGATTTGACGGTGGAGGAGATGCATAGGAAGGAGAAATATCCTCTTTATGTGCGTCTTCTCCTCCGTCGTATAAGGGTAGGCAACGCATCTGCAATTGCGGATATCTATGGGCAGCGGGCGCTTCGCCATTTTGGCAGATTCAGGTGGCCGCTTGCTCGTTTGCCACCTTATGTTATAGAAGAGACAAATACTTCTTGTTAAGTTATACAAAAAGTGGTTACTTGAAATTAATTCAATACAAAAAACTTACTTGCATAAATCAACTTGAATCCCAATTGTTCAATCAATGTAGCGTCTCTCTCAGCATGCTCCAGTACAGGATCAATCAACACCGCTTCTCTTGTTCTTTTGTCTCCTAATAGATATGTGTATGTACTACTCACTGTGTCAAACAACTAGAAGAATAACAGAATCATGTTACTAGAGTGTACTATTCTCTAGTTTTATATTTATGTATAGTACAAGACATTCAAGAAATATGTAGAATAGACATAGTAAACAAAAAGTTTTCACCGGTACTTTATTTGAAAGGTTATCAAGTTTGGTATACCACCTCATGTCCTTGTATTGACATGTTATAAAACATTTTACAGAATTATAATAACCTCCATCTTTTGTTATAAAATAAACTACAACAGTGTCATAATATAAAACAAACATTCATTTGAATACAATTAATTATATTGACTGGTTTTGACAACCTAACAATAGATAGCATTAGTGAGGAACATGTGAAAAATATCTTAAGGAAAGTGTCAAAATATGCTTCCTACATATTTTAATCTTTTTGGTTTTAGTGGATTATATTAATACACAAATGTCATGACATGACATCATGTCAAACCATGGCAACCTTGCTTCCTTAATGTTAGCAACAACTTATGGTCTCTTTCCCACCTTAGGGTTTTTATCCAAAATATTTATCCCTAAGTTTAACGGTGTGGAAATATATAGCCTAAAGTGTGACATAAGTGTAGGGCTTTTTATTAAAAAAAAGAGTTATTCGAAAATATGCTGTGATTGCTGACATCTTAGGCAACAAAGAAGTGTGTGTTTACGCTTTATTATATTAGTATAGATATAGTTTAGTGTCTATCCTTTTCTTATTTCAATATTGCATCAGTTTTATCTAATTAAAGTAACAAAAATATCCACTGACCTGTCTGAAGAAGAAATTGTGTTCCTGATTCACAGCCGCACTCATAAATCTTACATGATGTGCTTTATTTAGCATACAGAAAGATTTGGTAAGTTTAAACCCAGGTATTGATACCTTTTGCAGCATTCTGTAAAAAAAATGTCTATATCCCTTGGTTATGTAACAAATCAAAATGTGTTACTTGTTGCAAGTATGCTTACATACTGAGTATGTAATAATATTAACAGTTATTGTTCACACATTTGTATTGACAATGATGTAACTGAAAATTAAACAATCGGTCATTACAAGTGTAATTTAAACAAACTTATTTATTAACAGTATGTAAACAAGATACTCATTCACATTTTCATATTTTGTCTACATATAGCTTGTAACGTCCGTAAGATATAGGAATAGTTAGAGGCCTTTAAAAATGATTAGTAACTTTTTAGTTGAAAAAGACTCTCGTATTGCATAAGCCATCGGGCAGATCAATATCCAATTGAGTGATACAATTTGGAGTTTATTATTTATAGACGCATTAGTATATTTCTTCTAAGTGTTTATTTAATGAAATAATCACGAAGTTTAGTTTATCATACTTACATGAAGACGGTGTTACTTTATAACACTTTAAGGCACTATTGTGAGAAAAAACAACAATTTTCGAAGATATACTGATTGTTTATCTTATCTTTGTTAAGAATTGTAGAAACTAATAACAATTTATTCATGCCCACTAAACATACAAACTAGATTTTTTTAAAAATTACTTCCAACTAAAATGTAAATGTTTTTTCAATATTTGTAAAAAATATTGAATAAATGAATCCAAAAATGAAAAACAATCTCAAAACTTCTTTGACGTTTGACGTTTAACGTCAAAGTGTGTTTACCTTTATCGTCACATTCAATTACTTTTTGGATCCATTCAGTTTTAACAAAAATATTCAGTCGAATTCATTTTTAAAATTGCTGAGAACTTTATAAAAATGTTAAATAAAGAAGAAATCAGATACTTAAAAGGCCAATAAAACCAATTTCTCCAGAATTCCAAATTATTTGAACAAAATGTACAATTGTAATTCATTTATAATCGATAAATTTTCAAACAAAAAATATTGATTTTAGCAAAAATAAAACAAAACCTTTACTTTTCTATTTATCAACTTATTCCCAGAGGATTTAAACCTGGTTTATAATAAAGGTTTAATTCATTTTTGTTGAAACGACAGACGCAAATGTCAAAAATATCAGACATAAAGACAGGAGGAAAATGTAAAACACAATAAAAAAATATCAACACCAGCCCAAATCATACATCGGGTAAACATTTCTTAAGACTTTAGGTGTGTAATTTTTATTACTAAATTAATAAAACTATCATTTTCCCATCTATTTTAATGTAAAAGAAAACGCACCTACTGCAATTTACATCATACATACTTTTCTGTATATGTAGTAGTTTGTTGTTTTCCTCTCTCTTTTTACCGTACAGTTTTGATGGTTTTCTCTTTCTAACTTTACCAATCATCTGGTAACGTCATTGACCTCCTTCATCCCCACTCTTCTAGTCAATATTTTGCTCTAGAACGCGAGTGGTTGGTTCGATGTGTGCGTGGAAACTGGTATTGCGACTGTGCAATGTATTGATGTAAACATTCTCTTGTCACTTTGTTTCAGTGCGTTTAGAAGATTGTATGGAAATCTTTATAGACGTAACTAAAAAGAAAATGTGAACAGCTGATTATAAGCATAATTAAATTTCTGTGATACAGTGTCTTAACGCTTTAGTGAAGATAGGCCGCCAAATTTCAAATGCTATAAAAATTATTTGTTAAAGTAGTGATTACTAAATTTTACAATTACACTTTAATCTGAAATGTACGAAAAGAAATAAATAAAGGATTATTATGTGTTGAATACATGATAAATACAAAGTATCATATTCCTTTTAAGTTATATTTTACTTGCAATATTGTGGTTTGTCTGCCGCTCTGACACTCATTTGGTAAGCATGTTTTACATTTTTAAACTAGTAGATGTATAAAATAGTTGCTATTTAATTGTTTTATTTTGTAATAACAGTTCCAACTTATAGTCGGCATAGATTTCTTGTACAACTTCCTGATTGTAAACTAGTAGACTTATGCATTGTTAAACCTATGGTAGGTATATAATATGACGCAAAATTTACACCTAACCATTTTATTGTTTAGGAAATCACGCGTAAAGTTCTGTTTCAATTTTTATTTACTTATTATTTAATTATAACTCTATCGAGTGTATTATTATAATCACCTAAATTTATTACGTTTATTAATTGCTTCTAATTACGTATAACAGGACAAACTAGTTTTTAACTAAAGTTGCGTACTCAATTACGTAGTATTTTTTTAATGTTCCTAAGAATAATGTGACTTAGTTGACTGTTAGATGTTTTTTTAATTCGAAATATTTGTCTATACTAATATTATAAAGAAGAAGAGATTTGTATTTTTGTATTTATTTGATTCATAAACAATAAAATGAAATTGCGCGTAACAATACGGTACAGTCGCCAACAAAACCACAAATTCACTATCGATTTTGACCGTGACCCAGTTGTCCATTTCCTAGTTTTCGGAACACTTATATAATTTACCAACGCAAATTCATTATCTAAATAATTCATATAGTAACTATAAAAAAGACACATATATGCATGGAAACAAAACAAAGGCGACGCTAAAAGCGAAATTCCCGCGCATTGCAACATTCGCTCGCAGAAATAGAAAATGATTTGATGTCTGTCTGTCCTTGTGAAGCTTTAAACGAAAATGAAATCGCTTCTTATCCACGGGTTTATAAAAAACTGTATACCGTAAATATTTTTTTTTAGTAGAGTCTATGGTTGACTGAATTAGACAATACAAAGTGTAAAATACGGTAAAGTAGAATCCAACGTGTAAAATATGTGTTGGAAATATCGGATTTTGTTCCATTATTTGACCGTGACTTCATTTTTAAGCTATCTGAGCCTCTATCAGCCAGAGCTGGGACAGACCCTAAATTTTGTAATAAGGTAACTAACTAGGTCTTTTGTGCTTTTTTTAAGTCTCACAATGAATGTACTTTATTTTAACACGTTATCCGTCATGATTTTTGTTTTAGTTAATATTTCAAAGTAATTTGCCAAATTATTATATTTATCACCAGACGCTTAAGATGTTCCCAGTACTTTAATTACAAGCAACATTTTCCCTCTGATATCAACAAAGATCTCGGTGTATAAAACGTAATGATCCGCCAAAGGTCTGTTGCAAAATGGACTGTTAAGGTCAAAAGAATCAAATTCGAAATTCGATTAACGTGAAACCATGACCTTACCCAAACGGTTGGCACCAGTTGCTACCAAACTTTCCAAGTTGCAACAACCAGTGAACAGGAATGAAGATATCGGAAAGTTTCTATCAAATTATCGGAACCCAAAACGTTTGAACAGTTAGTTCCTTCAAGTATCGAAGGTCAGTCTGAATTCTCAAACCCTTTTGGGTGATCAGGGATTACTTTTGTAATATTACTATTATATAGGACCACCGTCTCACTGCCCTCTAAATTAACAGTCATTCGCAGACCACCAGTGGTCCTCGGACCAGATTGGATCGGGATCCAGCTCTAACGGTATACAACAAGCTACTTTTATATAAATTTTTCACCAGGTATCGCAAAAAACGACTTATATTCATGTATATTCATATTACATTTGTTTATAGGTTCCATTTTAATCGTTTAATTAATCGACGTAGCTTCCTTATACATTAAAACGAAAATTAAAACAACGCAGAATAAAACATGGTTCGTTATGACTCTAATCCATTCGCACAACGCCAGGGACGAGCAGTTGTCAATTATTCTCAGAATGTGTAAAACGTAGTAAGGATGTTGACGATGACTTGTAATGGCTGTATAAAATGTTTGAATAGACTATGAAGGTCGTTCTCAGATAAACCGATAGCGTGCTTTAACACGTGTTGTTTCAAGTACACGACACTTGTAGTAAAATAAGTTGTAATTCCTTGTATTATAGAAGTTAAACTCACTATATTGTAGACACCAATGGTCAAAATTCATCCTACCCACCCCCATTCTAAAAGAGAGCTACTAGCATTGAAGAGTTCTTCTCAATTTTGAATTTTGCTACAACAAATATAACGTTATTCATAACAAATTTGTTGTAACAAAAACTGAAAAATGTTGGTCATTTAAAAAAAAATCTAACACACAGATATAGAGGATTTACATTTTTGCAGTTACTGTGCCGACCCTCCGTAAGGGATAAGGGCAAGTGGATGATGATATTTTTGCAGTTCGTACTGTCCACCAGTATCGGCGTTAGTGTAGGGCACGGTCATACGAACGCCCTGGGTACTGGGCATATTACCCAGACGAACATAAGCTGTTAACC